GATAGATAGATAGATAGGCAGGCAGGCAGGCAGGCAGGCAGGCAGGCAGGCAGGCAGGCTGGCAGATACAGATAGACAGATAGACGGATGAATAAATGATGGATGGATGGATAGTTAGATGATAGATAGATAGATAGATAGATAGATAGATAGATAGATAGATAGATAGATAGATAGATAATTAGAGAGAGAGAGAAAAACAGATAGAGATATGATAGATAGAGGGATGGATGATAGATAGTAGATAGATAGATAGATAGATAGATAGATAGATAGATAGATAGATAGATAGATAGATAGATAGACAGACAGACAGATAGACAGACAGACATAGACAGATGAATAAATGATGGATGGATGGATAGTTAGATGATAGATAGATAGATAGATAGATAGATAGATAGATAGATAGATAGATAGATGATAGAGAAATATGTGTAATCGCTGCTAGGATTCTCACCTGTACGTTGGGTTTGAAGCAGTTTTTCTGTTGTGATCTTCACCTCTTGGATCAAGGCATCAACCATGGATTTAACTGGGAAGAAGAAAATGAGAGACAGTTGCAATAGATTGTAAAAAAATTTTTTTTAGATTTTTAAATATTTTTTAAAAGGTAGAGTAAACTGGACCATACTTTAGTGGTGGAGGGAACTTTGGGGGGGAAACAGTAAGGCTTAGGCAGAGTAAATACAAAGGGCATGAAAGTAGCTAGGATTTTCAGGGGTGTTTCGTTTTTCTTTTAAAATCACAGCAGAGTTACATAAATTTCTTAGACCAAACTTATACATTTTTTCTGTATGCGGTGCAAAAAATCTAAATTTAATTTAACTGAGCTTTGCATTTAATTAAAATCACATTAAATTTAAATTAAATTAAAAAATAAATATTCAAATTAAATTATAATTAAATTAAATTTAAATTAATTCAACATTAAAATTTAATTAAAATTTAAACATTAAAATAAAATTAAAAATGTGTTAAATTAACATTTAAACTGACAAATTAGATTAAATACATTAAAGCATATTAAATTAATTATTCACCTCCCCTTTATGAATAATTCTCTTTGGTAGAAAATTTTAGAAATCCCCAAATTATTCATCTGCATTTATTCTTTGTGTTGGTGGAGCCATTCTGGAGGTCTCCCCCACAGCATTTGGGGCGCATGCAGTCTTTGGAGTCTCAGATTGTGCACCCTTCACAGTGTTCACCTTTCTTTCCTCAGAACAGTGGAAAATGGCATAACAATCACAGATATTTATCATTATTATTATTATTATTATTTTCCCAATCAGTTTGATGGTACATCTAGAAGGGCTCTTGATTGAGGCTGGAAAAAAAGCATTTTTCCTATCTTCTCTTAAAGATGATTTTATCATATGAAAGGATACAGTTTTCTTCTCCTAACCTGCCCAGCTTCCAGACATCCAACCTCTTAAATACTGCTTCCTCCTTAGTTATTTATATCCTACCTTTATTATTTCTACAAATCACTCAAAGCCAGTGAACATATCCAATATATTTCCCTTCTTCTATTTGCCCCACAACAACAACCCTGTGAGGCAAGTTAGGCTGAAGAGAGTAGCACCCAGCTAGCTTCCATGGCTAAGGTAGGATTTGAACTCACAGTTGTTTGCTTTCTAGCTCAGTGCCTTAACCACTAGACCAAACTGGTTGTCCCAAATTGCCCTTTAAAATCTCATCTTTTCAATGAAGCTTCTGGTGTGAATATTAGCCCACCTTAAATCCCAGCTTTGTCAATGTATGTTCCCTGTTCTCCTATATTCCCATTTCTATATCTCTCTCCTATATCTATTTTTATGTATTAGATTTTTATCTCACCTTGATTAGTTTATAAGTAACTCAAGGCAGTGAACGTACAGAATACTTCTTCCTCCTAATTTCGGTGAGTCAAATTTGGGATTCTGAGCAAAACAGTCTGGCCTCATTCTTACAGAATTACGACACACATATTGGTGGCACCGGAATCATGTCTGTGACTGATGCTTTCAAATAGGATAAGCAAAATTTTCTTCGTGTTATTTTAGAACACCACAAAGAATGTCCTCCCACCACAGCTTTACCTCCTGTTTCCATGAATAATAGAGTCATTGATATAGGAGAAGAGCAGGCAGAGCTGGGGAGGTGGAGTTAAATGTGTCATCAGTTTAGAGTCCTTGCATTGCCATAAGAGATTCAAGTCCAGCCCATTAATTCCGTTGACTCTTACCTCGCGCCAATTTAGTCCTGACTGTTAGTTGACTACATTCTCGTGTATAGGCTTGAATAAATTTTTTATGCTGCAACTTTATGAGCGGTTCTGATTCTTTGTGCCTCACAACATGATTGGAAGGGACCTTGGAGGTCTTCTAGTCCAAGACCCCTTCCACCTTGCCTTGACCCTAAGCCATGATTTGCCCAGACCTACCTGCCCATTTTCCCTCCCACAGAAAAATCAGCAGCCACAAAACAGGAAAGGACAATTTGTCTTAATGCTGTCAGTTCCATCTCTCATCGCAGCAAGGGCTGGGTCCCATTAAGGGAGGAAAGATTGCCTGTTAGGATGCTTTAGGCCTGCTGAAGTCCCTGAGGACATGGCCATGATTCATTTATTCATCCCATGGATTTCAGCACAATTGACTCAGCAGAGCTCCAATCTAGTAATAATTATTTGCAGGGTTGGGGGAAAAAAATAGTTGTGTTGCACAGACACACCCATGTTGGAGACCAAGGAACTGGATGTGGCTGATGCTTTTTCCATCAGGACTTTTGAGTGAGGAACGCTGTTGTGCATTCTTTGTTTCCTTGTTTCCATTCCATCTTTCTTTCTTTTTTTTTACCATGGATGTTTTATTGGATTTTGATGATTGTAAGCTGCCAAGAGTGTATCAATTGTGATGGGCATAATAAATAAATAAACAAATAAATAATAAATGCGCCTGAAACAATCCCCAGCATGTGTTATTTTATTGGCCCATCTGTAGAGATATTTGTAATACGTATCCTTCCCCTTTTACATTAGTATCCTGGAAGATACTGAAGGCAGGACAAGAAGCAACAGGTGGAAACTAATCAAGGAGAGAAGCAACCTAGAACTAAGGAGAAACTTCCTGACAGTGAGAACAATTAACCAGTGGAACAACCTGCCTCTAGAAGCGGTGAATGCTCCAACACTGGAAGTTTTTAAGAAGAGACTGGACAGCCATTTGTCTGAAATGATATAGGGTTTCCTGCTTGAGCAGGGGGTTGGACTAGATGACCTTCAAGGTCCCTTCCAACTTTACTATTATTATTATTATTATTATTATTATTATTATTATTATTATTAAGATCTGACAATGCTTATATATTCATCCTTTTTTAAAAAAAATGTCAATTATTTCAAATCAAGTCATAGCTAAATACTGTGTAGCTGCTGGAAAAATTAGACACCAGTTGATGAACAGTCTCCCACAGCTGTAACATACTTTTCATATCAACCATTACAATCGTCTGTATTCTACAGTTATTTAATTATTTTAGCTGTTTTCAGTTATATTGATGCTTTTGGGCCCTTAGTTGTAATAAAGATTCATTCAATGTGGTACAGCAATTTTTTAAAAAAATCTGTAAGAGAGTTGATCCCTTTAAAATTAAGACAGGTGGTTGTATTTTTTTATTTATTAGATTTTTATCCCATCTTTATTACTTTATAAGTAACTCAAGGTAGCAAACATACCTAATATTCCTTCTTGCTTTTGTTTTCCGCACAACAACCTTGTGAGATGGATTGGGCTGAGAGAGAAGGACTGGCCCAAGTCACCCAGCTGTCTTTCATGCCTAAGGCAAAACTAGAACTCACTGTCTCCCAGTTTCTAGTATTGTTAATATTTCTGTATAAAGAAAGTCTGTTATATTTGTCAGATGTATTTTTTTTCCCTTTTGGCACTTTTCATGTGCTTTATCATTCCCTTTCTCTTTCCTTTTATATTAATTTGTATTTTAATGTATGATGTTGAAACTGTATAAAGATATTATAAGAGAGAGAGAGAGANGAGAGAGAGAGAGAGAGAGAGAGAGAGAGAGAGAGAGAGAGAGAGAGAGAGAGAGTTGACGCTGAAATACTGACATAATGGCAGATCATTTTTTAATGGAGGGAGGACTCTTGCAGTGATGTGGTCTAGGAGAAATCAGACCATTCATGAAGCAAAATAATGTATTGAATAATACATATTAATTTAATAATAATATTTAGAAAAAAATCTTCTAACTAACTGTGTTTCCAGGGATGAGTCACTAGGTGCAGATTTAAAGTCCCACGAGCAGAAGACTGCCACCAAATTCAGCATCATAAATGAATGAAATCTTATTTTCTACTTCCTCTATTCTTGTTCTGGATCTTATTTTTAAAAGGGGTGGGATGGAAAAAACTAAGAAACAGAAAACAAAAATGAAGATGTGATGACAGAATTGGAAATTTGGGTTTCAATCCTGGCAGCGTTACTGTTTTTAAGATAACACAATTACAGATAGTCCTTGACTTATGACCACAACTGAGCCCAAACTTTCTGTTGCTAAGTGAGACAGTTGTTAGGTGAGTTTTGTCTCATTTTAAAACCATTCTTGCCATAGTTGTTAAATAAATCACCGCAATGGTTAATTTTGTTGCACGGTTGTTAAGTGAAACTGGCTTTCCCATTAACTTTGCTTGTCAGAAGGTTGCAAAAGGGGATCACATGACCCCGGGACACTGCAACCGTCATAAATATGAGTCAGTTGCCAAGCTTCTGAATTTTGATCACATAACCGTGGGGATGCTGCAACGGTTTTAAGTGTGAAAAATGGTCATAAGTCACTTGTAGCTTTGAACAGTCACTAAATGAACTGTTGTAAGTTGAGGACTACCTGTATGTTGTGTAGGTCGGAAGATACTGTGTATCAGTAGTGATGCTACTAGCCAATAGCCCCTGTGAGCGCCCTGTGCTACATTTCATAAAGCAATTCACAACCTGCTGAAAGAGGGTCAGTAGGCTGAATGTCATTTCATAGCAGCAAATTGTATCAATTTACAGAAAGACATTTTAATCATTTCTAACACATTAAAATGTGTTGAAGCATTAATTTTATTTGTTTATTTAACACATTTACATAGGTGCCCAACTTATTCCTAGGTGACTCTAGGCGGCTTACAAAATTTTAAAAATCCAACATATACCAGTAATAAAAATCTATTTAAAAAACCCACCCCCCACCTCCATAGCAGCAATAACACAATCAAAACAGCCATTTCACCATCTCTAGTTGCAGTCCCCAGGACCACTGACCAAACCATGTTTGTAGGCCTTTCAGAAAAGCAGCTGGGTGGGGGCCTACCGTACCTCAGGGAGAATGATGTTCCATAGAGAAGGGGCCGCCACTGAAAAGGCCCTTTTTTGTGGTCCCAGCAAATGTATATTTCTAATTGATGGGACCTGTAATATATCCTGCCTTCCCATCCTGGTGAGCCAGATGGACAAATTAGGCAAGAGACAGTCCTTCAAACAGCCTTTAAATCAGAGATGTCCAATCCTGACAACTTTATAACTTGTGGACTTCAATTCCCAGAATTCAGCACAGTTGGTCAGAGAATTCTGGGAGTTGAAGTCTACAAGTCTTACAGTTGCCAAGGTTGGACACTTGCTTTAAATGAACAAAGGCCCAGAGGGCAGGGCTGACCTGTAGGCAAAGGATTACAGAGTTGTACCTGCCAATCCCGAAAACTGGCTAGTGGCATAATGCAGAAAGAAATCCCCCTCAAGGCCCTTGAGGAGGACTTCAGCGCGTGTCTTCAAGCGAGTGTCCCGTATCTTTTTTGGAACAATGTCAGTCCGGAGCTTAGCTATATTGCTCTTAAACACTGGGTCACATTGTAAGCAAGCCCAGATCCTGGTGGGAATGAATACCAGGAACAACAGAGAAGAAAATCCTAAGAGCGGCATGACTAAAAATGTGAGCAAAAGGAATCAGAGGATCACAAAGTTCTGCTGAGCATGACATCAGAATGGCATAAGCAGAACATTATCAATTGAATCATAAGATTCTGCTTGGGCAATTGGCCAATACAGATAGTCCTTGATTTACGACCACAGTTGGAACCAGAATTTCCGTTGATAAGCAAGGCAATTTTATGACCTCTTTTGCCACGGTTGTTAAGTGAAACAGGGCAATTGTTAAGTGAATCACACAGACGTTAAGCAAAACCAGCTTCCCCCATTGACTTTACTTGTCAGAAGGAAAGGAAGGAAACGTGTGGTGATCACGACACCTCGGGATGCTGCAACTGCCGTAAATATATGCCAGTTGCCAGGTATCTGAATTTTGATCACATGACCATGGGGATGCTGGGATGGTTGTAAGCATGAGGACCAGTTGTAAATCACTTTTTTCAGTGACATTGCAACTTTGAATAGTCGCTAAACAAATGGTCGTAAGCTTTTACGTTCCTCTTCCAAGAAAGAGCCTAGGCAGCTCCCAGCTTAGGTCAACTTCTTCCATTTGTACATAAGCTCCCTGCACTGATGCCCCGCAGATGTTCTAGGACTGCAACTCCCAGAATTCCCTGGCAGCATGGCCTGGCCCTGGCTAAAGAATCTTGGAAGTTGTAGTCCCAACAAGTTTGGAAGTTATTGAACAGGAAAGCAGCTACACATTTTCCCAGTCACATTTTATAAACAAAGAGATTATTCATTTGTAGTATCTATTAAGCCCTTGCATTATTTTCCCTCCACTGCTAAGCTAATATTTATATTTATAAAAGCTCTTAAAACACTTTGCAGAGATTAATGGTATGGCAATCCTTGCTCTCAGATTTATAATTTATAATTGTAGACAGAGGAAGGGAACTTTGAGCTCCACATTTAGAAATTTGAGTTCTTTAGAAATGTTATTATTGCATGGATGTGCAAAGGTAAGCTTTAGGGGATTTTCCACTTGCTTGTGTAAATGACCAAATGTGGATTAGCCACTGTGATTTTTGGAATTGTTTGTGTGAAATTGACTATATAATCTTGCTTGTATGTGTAGGACAAGCCTTTTCTGCTTCACATGCTCCAAAACTGTTCTTACAACAACACCTAAATTCCTCAACAGACAGGAGTAGAGAGAAATATGTAGGCAGCTGAGTCTAACATATTTTGCAAGAAAAGATGGGGATTGCTGGAATAGAATAGCACTTCATCACAATTCACACAATCAGTCCAATTATATTCTTCTAAAAGGTATTTAAACCCCAAATGAGATGGAAATATTTGTGGAATGTATTGATGTCTTTTTTTTCTTAATGCACTGGATTAATTGACCCTTCCCAGATTCAAAAATAACTCAGAAACTGACATTTGCTATGTAAGTCACAAGTCATATTGATTACCTCACTACACACCTTTAGGATAAACACAACGACATTATTCACCATTAGTTAAACAGTAGATATTTGCTTTGCATCTCCCTGTATTAACATTCTGCTTATGTAATTAATACACCCTTATGCAATGTATCAGAAATTGTGACTCTTGTGTAAAAACTATATAAACGCCTCTCTGAAAGCTACAATCACCAACTGTAGATATTGTGCAACTGCCAAGAAACCAGCCAAGTTCATATATACTGTCCTAAGCTATGGCCTGATTAATAAATAATTATTCTCTACAACAGGGGTCTTCAAACTTGGCCCTTTTATGACGTGGACTTCAACTCCCAGAATTCCTCAGCCAGCATGCCTGGCTGAGGAATTCTGGGAGTTGAAGTCCTCACATCATAAAAGGGCCAGGTTTGAAGACCACTGCTCTACAATGACCTACACTTGAAACCACTCAGAAATTTTAACTGGTTCAGAATGCAGTGGAATGAGCAATGGTGGGCTTGTCTCAGAATGCTCACTTGACCCTCTAGTTTCATGAACTTTACTGGTTGCTAGTGGGTAAGTTTATGGGTGTGATCCAAGGTGCTAGTTGCCAAATGTCTGTGGAGATTCTCGGTCATTCAGTCATCAAAGGTGCTTTTTCAAAAGGCAACTGGACTGTGTGTTTTTTGAGGAAGAAGATGTTTTGCTTCTCATCCAAGAAACGTCATCAATTCTGGCCCAGCTTTTTGGATGAGCCAGAACCAATGAAGCTTCTTGGATGAGAAGCAAAATATCATCATCATCATCATCATCATCATCATCATCTTCTTCTTCTTCTTCTTCTTCTTCTTCTTCTTCTTCTTCTTCTTCTTCTTCTTCTTCTTCTTCTTCTTCTTCTTCTTCTTCCTTCTTCTTCTTCTTCTTCTTCTTCTTCTTCTTCTTCTTCTTCTTCTTCTTCTTCTTCTTCTTCTTCTTCTTTCTTCTTCCTCTTCCTCTTCCTCTTCCTCCTCCTCCTCCTCCTCCTCAGGAAAAAAAAACAGTCCAGTTGCCTTTTGAAAAAGCACCTTTGAGTGCTGGTTATCAACTATAAAACCCTACATGAAATATGGTCCAGTTATTTGAAGGACCACCTACCTCTCATGGTTTCTCCTGGCCACTATGAACCAGCAGAGTGGATATATTCCAGGTCCCCTTGATTAAACAGTGTCATCTTTCCGTCTTCTGGAATGAAGTCCTCTTGAAATCCAGATGGCTCCCAGCCTGATGACATTCCAGTAACTTTAAAGACCTGGCTGTTCTCCCAGGCCTTGGGGTAAGGTGGCGGAATGCTCTTGTTTGACATATGTTTGACATATGTTGTATATGTTTTGGTTGGATGTCTGGATTTTCCATCTCATTTATTTACTTTATTGTATTTTATTTCCTTATTGTAGTTCTATCATGCTTTCTTTATGTGGTAAGCTGCCTAGAGTCAGTTTGAAGTTGAATAATGCCAAAATCAAATAAATAAATAAATTTTATTAGAGACTGGGACTAGCAATACAGAATTCTTACTCAGGGCAATTAAATAGAAAATGCAAATAAAATTAACATTAATACCATGGAATGCATTTTTAATAAGTTAATAAGAATTACCGTCAGTCAAAGCAACTCAAATCTTTATTACAGCCACAAGGCTTTTTGGGCTTTTGGTTAAGATAGAATACAGACTTATTCAAACTGTCTAACACATAAGACTAAAAGTTACATGGATTGCTTACTTCTTTCTGTTCCAGAGAAACACAATATTTTGGGAAATATTGTGTGTGTGTGTATGTGTGTGTGTGTGTATGTGTGTGTGTGTGTGTGTGTGTGTGTGTGTGTGTGAGAGAGAGAGAGAGAGAGAGAGAGAGAGAGAGAGAGAGAGAGAGAGAGAGAGAGAGAGAGAGAGAGAAATAGAAAACAAAAATACATCTTTCTCAGTACTGTAATACTGGACATCATGTTTGTTTTTCTGGATTCTCTGATATAATCATTGTTTTAGTCAATACTTTCTCAAGTCTCCTTGAGGCCTATGCTACATAGGTCTTTCCAGGATGAGGTTTCAGGAGTTAAAAAGAGAGAGCAAAAAAGAGAGAATTGGATGAATTAGTAGCAGTTTCTCCTAGGGAAGCCTTAAATGAACTTTTAAGGGATGAAATGTCTCTTCCCATGGCTTAAAAATCTTGTTTACTCCCAGAACAGTTCACGCTGTACATTTTATAAATGCAACTCATCTTCTTTCCTTTGACGTGTTGACTGCATCCTCCACTTTTGAAGCCTGAGAAAGTTTCTACTTTCCCTTTTTTTGCTCATGAACGTTGAATGCAACATCAACACATGCAAATATAGCAAGAGTACCTCATCGCTCTAGATGGGAAAAACGATCACAGGCCAATTTGTTGAGTCACTTCAATCTCTAAAAGTAGCATGGGGAACCTTCCCTCTCGGCCTTGCTCCAGCTAATTTCATTTATGATGGTTCTGTTTGGTCATCTCCTGTGGACTTTTGCTGCATCACTGCCAGTGTGACCTTGGTATGATAGTGTTGGACATTCATCTACCACAAGAGGGCAGAATAACTCTGGCAAAAGGAACAGCAAAAGGAAGAAGAAGAAAAAAATCTGGTCTGTCACAGTTTAAAAACTCAGATTTATTGCAGCATAAGCTTTATGCATCACACTCTTATTTCAGATAAATCTGACATTATGTTTGTGTGTGTGTGTGCATGTGTGTAGGAGAGTGTGTGAAGGCTGGTTCCCATCACCTTGCTTTTTGCATGCATGCATGCATGCCTCAATTAATCTCTCTCAAATTGATGTGAGCCTTACTGTGCCAAAGTTAAATTTTTGGCAGCATTTGCTATTTCCTGCACATCCAGATGGGTATTTGAACAAGGACCAAGAGTAGTGATGCCACTTATAAACTCGACCTTTCATCAGAGTTGTGTGCAGGGTAAGCCAAATGTAACACGTCTGTGAGTACCATACCACAACTTACATACTTGCATTCAGTTTTGGTCACCACGATGTAAAAAAGATGTTGAGACTCTAGAAAGAATACAGAGAAGAGCAACAAAGATGATTAGGGGACTGGAGGCTAAAACATATAAAGAACGGTTGCTGGAATTGGGTATGTCTAGTTTAATGAAGAGAAGGATGAGGGGGGACATGATAGCAGTGTTCCAATATCTCAGGGGCTGCCACAAAGAAGAGGGAGTCAAGCTATTCTCCAAAGCACCTGAAGGCAGGACAAGAAGCAACAGATGGAAACTAATCAAGAAGAGAAGCAACCTAGAACTAAGGATAAATTTCCTGACAGTTAGAACAATTAATCAGTGGAACAACCTGCCTCCAGAAGCTGTGAATGCTCCAACACTGGAAGTTTTTAAGAAGAGACTGGACAGCCATTTGTCCGAAATGGTATAGGATTTCCTGCCTGAGCAGGGGGTTGGACTAGATGACCTCCAAGGTCCCTCCCAACTTTACTACTATTACTACTACTACTACTACTACTACTACTATTATTATTATTATTATTATTATTATTATTATTATTATTATTTGCATCAGACATAGAGATGCA